TGCATTTGGCACGGTGTTGAAGCAAATCACATTAACATACAACATTCTGTCTTGGACGAAGTCGTAGTCTCTGCGTGCGTGTTTGTGTGTGTGTCTGGGGGGGGGGGTTAAAATCTCAGGCCGTGAGGAGGGTGGTTTTAGGATTTGTTCTCGAATGGGTTTCAAGTAATTATAAATTGTTTGCATGTAGGAAAGTGACAGATAACTGTGAAAACTGCTTTATGTATTATCACTTCTCTTAGTGAGGGGAAGTTAAACAGATTCAAAAATCTGTCTCTATGGTTTTCCGTACTTAGTCAAACAGCAAATGTGTTGATTCCTTTCGACCCTTTTGAGGGTTCCTGTTAATCACATAGTCTAAAACTGAAAATAACAAGAGTCTGCTGTCACGACATTAAATCGGGAATTACCTACTACTGGAACACATTATGGAGAGAAAGAAAACACTAGAATTGACAATTAGTATATGATGACATAGCATTTCTTTAAAAGCTGATACTAGCTCAGCTTGTCAAGGAATTATCTGTTTGCGGAACCCTGAACTTCTGTGCAGAATTCGGGAAACATCGCCTCTAGACCTTACCGAGCCCACACCTTTCAACTCTATTGCTTTACATTTACAATTTTAATTCGAATAATCTGTGAGAGGTTAGGTTAGGATTGTTACAGCAAATCATATGCACACGCAATGATTGTTTTCTTTGGTAGATCAAAGTAACTTTAGTACAGGGAGGGGCAGAGACACACAAGTGGACCATGCACACTACACTGTACACAAGAAACTACTTACCAATTGCTGCAAAAATGTGTGTCAGAAGAACTCCGAACAAACGTTCCACTGCCTCCTGTTTACTTCATCTTTGTATCACTCACACGGTTTACAAGTTAAATATACTGGATGTACGAATAAAACACAACATTTGATAACCTTCATGCTTTAAGGACACAAACTAGCACACTGCTGTCTCTTCAGAGTCACGTGAAGAAGTAAACATCCCCCTAGCCAGCACAGAGATAGAAGAAACGAAGTCACTAAAATTAAAATTATTTTTAAGGGCACATGTTAAACTTTCTGTAATAAAAGCAGAACTATCTTACAGAACGATTTCCAGGTACATTTGACACTTAATAATGGTTTCCTTACATTTATCAGATCCTAGAAACAACACTCCTGCTCTCGGTGACAGTCGTCTGTTTTGGGTGCGTTCTATGCTCAACGACGAGTCACAACGCTCAGCTGTCTCGAGGCGCGTTCGGTAAAGTTACAAAATGAGTAACATCGTAAATAGGACCTTTTTTGGTATATTTCAGGGCACGGAGAGGGAAATACTATCTCGAAATGTACAGCACATAGGGAAATAAATACATATGAGAATCTGAATCAGACAAAACGTTGATCAGCCGGATTCACATGATTAATAATAATAATGTACTGTAAAATATATGCAGACTAAAATGTCTTATGTGATTTCATAGAAGCCAAATCAGTATTTGATTAAAATTTAATGATGCTAACCAGTCAATATATCAATCTTCTCCTTTTCAACTGGCGTAATAAAAATTGAAATTACAAATAAAATAGTAACAATTTAAAAATAACTCTTGTCTGTATCCGATTAATTGTATCGCCTTAAGTGTGCTTAAAATTAATTTTTGTTTATTTATTTGATCGTTTCTATTTTACTGGTCCATTATTTAATTTATTTCACTTACCCGAAACTCCTGGGTCAATGTACTGCTATTCTGGCTATCTACTTGTCAGTTTGTGTCATTTTTATTTTGTAATGATCATGTATCCATGTTTCTGTAGTAGCCACGTTTCACTCATCTGATTACAATTTATACTCTTTAATTTTTGTTCTTTTTCTAGTTGAGATATTTCAACTTCTCTTTCAGTCTCGTATGGGAGAATGTCATCAACAACACTTTCCACCTTTTACACGTAATTTTCTCTTAAAAGCAATTTAATCCCCTCCCCTTTCAGTAACCAAGGTAATTTTGTTTGATGGAGCGAATTACGTCATTAAAGCAACCCTCCACGTTTTAAGTAAGACAGAAAATGTATTCACCAGCCAACAGACTGCCACATTTTGAAGAAATCCTCTGTTATGTAGAAGCTAATTAACTGCGCTGCATCAACTACTGAAGATGTGTAACTTCTGATTAAGAATGTTGGAACAAGTAGTCCGGGTATTAGCTTGGTCTGAGGAAAACAACGAAAATATTTTCGTAGAGACTGACGGCTAATTTTCGGTCTATACTTAGTACCGTCACATTGCTTCGTGATAATACGATATTACAAACAAACGTACAAAGCGAAGGGCAATATTTTGTTACAGGAATATCTCGCGTTTTTAAGGCAATACAAACGCTGTTTGCAGGGAAAAGAATTTTTAACGCACCTCATATAAAAATACATTTTTTTGAGGTCTGATACGTTTTTATGGGAGTTGTATAAACCTAACTCTCCATTATGATGTGAATGATGTATCATACATTCCATTTGTTTATATGTGAAGAAAACTGATAATGTCTCACCTCGATGCGACGCGAAATCTGAGACAAATGCATGGATGTAAAAATTCAATTTGTGTTCCCCCCTCCCCCCCGGTTACTTATTTTTCCTTTGTCTTATGTAGTTCCTTAATCTTCCACTTTAGGACATTCGTATTGACATTTTCTTTTAAAATTATGATATATGTGTAACATTAAAAAGTCTTTTATACGTTTCGTATAGTTCCGGGTTGACATTTAATGTCTCCATTCCTTGAAGTGTGCGAAGATGAGAAAAGTAATGGTACAGAGAAAGAGAGAATAGCTGAATAGTAACAAAGATAAGAGAATCAGGGAAGGTAAAATCATTTTTGTTGGACTAACTCCAAAAGATTTCTTCTTTCAACCAAATAAATGTATCTGTTCTGTGACTAATCGTTAAAAATCCATTTGCTTCATGGGTTCTGTTACCGTCGTGGCTTTACGGCTACGATGGACCACTCTTTCAGCATCAGAGTCTGACTGAGATAATCACACAGTCGCATAGCGTGGTACTTATTCCAGCAAAGCAAACTCAATATACATGATACACGCATTAACAATGAACAGATGTTGCTTTGCATTTGTGATGTCCTACACGCATTAACAATGAACAGATGTTGAACGAAGCATGTCGCTTTGCATTTGTGATGTCGCAAGACAAAATCTTCACACGTACAATTCATACTGTGTTCTTTGATTTTATTTTCTTAGTAGTCTTGTTTAAAAATGCTTCTTGTCATCATGTGAGCCCAATTATTACATTAACTTCATAAAGCTGACAATAAACGTGACTCTCGTTATACACGGGGGATAAGTTCCTGCGAAGTTCTGCCTAGGCTTACATTGGAAACTAGTTAAAAGATAAAAAATTAACAATTACATTCGAATTCTAAGCTTATCATTTGCAGCAGATAACGTGATAAGTCTGTAAATAGAGTATTGGCCGCTGATAAGATATCGATACCCTCATGTTACCGAGATAAAACCGTGGATAAGAAAAGCGAGAGTAGTTACATAATTCATTTTCGAACAATCTTTTAAATTAATTATTAACGACGCCGTATAATTCACACAAAATATTTAATACTGAATTGTGTGAAATACTATATAAGACAAACCGGTCAAGGTTCTGGTAGGTGTAGATCGTGCAATATTATAAGCTACTATGCCGGCAGTGACGTGGAAAGACTTGGTAAAAAAAAAGAAACAATTATTAATGATACCTGTTGGTATAAATGGTCAGACACACAGCGACACATTAAGAAATACCACTACATACAAATATTCAATAGTAAATGTCACCAAGAAACAATGTGTGTTGATTGTATTATATTCACCGACTCGGAAACTAAATTACGGCGAACATTCTGTAGAAATGTGAGACTAGCTTTTGAAATGTTTTATGTACGAAGATGAAAAGAAATTGCGATGGAGAGAAACATAAAGCAATAATAACAAAAAAGGAAATTAATAAAAAAATTAAAAAACAAAAGAAAAACTCAATACTGAAAGACATGGAAAAGAAATGATAATGAATGCTACGAATAAGGTCAGTAAAGTTCAGGAGTTGCACTTAATATGCAATCTGTCAGAAGTAGGTCAATGAGAATCAGAGGTTGTTAGGAAGAAAATATTAAGACGTTTCAAGAATGGTATTTTCTGAAGCCGAGTGTACACTTGTACGTTACGTCTACAACAAGTTCTTCTTCCTGTCGCAGCAGTTGGATGCAACACTCTTTAACGTCAACTGTCTAAGCAGACGATGACATCCACTGCAGGGCCACAAAACCACGGAACTATAAATTAAAGCGTTATTTTAAATATTTAACTAAAATAAACTTTGTAGGATTTACGACTTTCAAGGCCGAGAGTCTGAAGATGGTTGTCTTTTGGGCTGTAGCACCGCATAGTCTGGAAGAAATTTACGAAAGGGGTGCTTAGATACGTGTAATCTGTGTAATTAGTTAAAATAATCCTAAAATTAAAGGTTTCAATAACTTCTGTATCTTTCCTAACTCCGCATTACATGACGCAAACGAAGTCGGAATGTCGAGGCACCAGTCCACTGGATTTTAAGTAAACGGGTGATTGAACGCACGGCTTTCGTGCGTCTGCGTAATATATAAAAGTTACTATTAAGTGAAGATTTCTGTCTTCTGGGTTATTGCGCTGTGTAGTCTGGTCGATGTTAACCAACGTTTCAGAGGTCATACTGCCTCCGTCATCAGGGCGATGAATATTCATATTATTCATATTATTCATCGCCCTGATGACGGAGGCAGTATGACCTCTGAAACGTTGGTTAACATCGACCAGACTACACAGCGCAATAACCCAGAAGACAGAAATCTTCATATTCACCGCTGTGAGAACCTCAAGTCTTACTTACTATTAAGTATTTAATACATTATTTTATATAGTTAAAATGTACGTATATTAATACTATTAAGAAATAAGACACAGGCTTTTTAAAACAAGTTTTTTTAATTACAAATTCACATTATTTAATTGATAAAATACACGAATCTTACCTTTAGTACTTTTCTCTTCGGTTTCCGTAACTCCACTCCTCTTCGCGGATATCGCGTGTTTCCTTTCAAGACACAAATTTTTTATTTAACAACAACTGTTTCAACATCAATAAATATGGAAAATCTTCTCAGCTTCATGCTATAAATATACAGCCTCTGTTTTTCAGCCGTAAACATCACAACACTTCAACAGTTAATTGTTAAGGGCACTCACATAATTTATTTATAAAACATTTTGTTAGACCAATTAGGCCCTTGCCAGTGGGAAACAAATACGACAAAACAATTTGTTTCTTTGTACCACATTTAAAATAAAATATTGATGTTATGAAAGATTTTATGTATGATTCTGACGAATTGTGCTCTGTAGAATTACACCATTGCTGAGAGGTATTTTTCATAAAATTTAATCACTCTTTAAGAAGCACATGCCAGCGTTCCAAAAAAAATCGTGGCAGTATTAATATATTCCACTCAGAAAGTGAAATAATCATTGTTCTAGAACATGAGATATGTGAGTGTATGAAAAGTTTTACTATCAGACCATAAAACATTTTGATTCAAAGCGTAGTCTAGAATCGCAGTGAAGGTCATTCAAATTACTCATTCGTACTCCATCTTAAAAAAAAAAACATATGAGTCCGTGAGGAGTCCTTCGGATTTTAATGTAAGAAATATGACTACAGCAAAAAATAATTGAATCAGTTCGAATCTGGTGAAAAGGATTATTTTTTTGCAATTTTACTACAAAAGTATTCTTCCGTCTAGCACAGCGTCTTCTTCGTTTGTTTCTGTACGATCTCCACTTCGTTGACGCGGCGAGCGACTGAGCGTGACGTCTCATAAATTAGGATTCTCTCTGATGAAAGTGTCTTGAGAGTTTATAGCAACCTGTCGTCGTTTTACCTAAGAATATGTGCAATTCTTGTTCCTTACTACTCTTCGGTTAACCGTACGAAATTCTTTCCATGTCATTTGTAAGCAGAATAATGGAAAAATGAGTCGTAATAATTTGCAGTTTTGATTTTTATTCACCATCAAAACTGCGTGGCATGAAAAAGTTTATATTAAAATGACACAGGATTTTTGACTGAAAAATTATCAACCATTACTGCTTTCGTACCTTAATTAATTTTTTTTATAAATTAAGTACTTTCATGGTTCAAATAATTATTTGTGCAAAATAGTGTAATTCTAAAAAGACAAAGACCTAATTTAAATTCAACGACATATTCAATTTGAAAAAGACCGTTTCTTTATCTTTGCGAGAGTATTTTATTTAATTTGAAAACACAAAATGTTTATATTCTTATCTACCAACTTTTTTCAAGTCATAGAAAACGAATTATTTCAAGGGGTTCCGGGAGGAGACTGAATGGTAAGAAATCAAACGAGGTACGAGACCCCCAGTTGAAGCTCACTGCCTGGAGACTGTACTATGGCGAAACAATGGAAAAGTGGAAGAAACCATACACGACATTTATAAAAATATATTAATGTAACAAATATTAACCCTGGTAACCTTAGTTTAAGCAACGCATACTCCATTGTGGCATCTACAAACGTGCATACGGAAAATTTCATTGTCATTTATCTTCTAACATTTTGTAAATTTATTTGTAACGACGTCATATTCACCTAAGCGGACAGGTTGCTTATTTGATTTGAAATGTCATAATACTATTACTTACATAAAATAAGTAACAAGATGTGCTATTTCTTTTGCACACCGTTACAGCACACAGAAGGACGGACAAAATCCGCGATTGTAATATCTTTTATTTCGTCAATTATTCAAATATTTTAAGTGGTGTTTTGGCCCAGGGATTGAAATGACACACTTTTTTAATTACCTTTTTTCTATATTTTTTGTAAGAAATATGAGCAATTCGATAGGACATCGTCTTATATTTGTGATGGTAGGCCAAAGTTTCCATTTTAAAAGTTAATATATAACCCTTTTAGTGTTGTACTTGATTCGATCTTTAATTATGTTAATCCGTTAAGGTTCTCGTGTATAATTTGGGATGTATTTTCTTCGTCGAAGACGGCGATCTCTGAATTTACGTTTCTCCGTAAGGTTGAAACACAGGAGACACACAGATAGAGACACTGATTCACAATACGTAGACAGGTGTACGACGAAATCATTATACGACCAGCGGAAAGCCAACAGATGGAGACACTGCATTTCACAACCGGAAATGTT